ACTGTCCATCACCATTAATGGGAGCCATTGCTGAGGATCTTCATGTCTGAAGGTGCAGCTCAGCTGAGCATCTTATATTTACCCAGTGGTGCCTGGTGCCAGCTTTACTCACAGTATCTCACTTGATGCTCACAACAACCTTGTGGGGAAGCTATTATAATTATTTATTCTCATGTGAAAGATGAGGAAACTGAGATTCAGAGAGGTTTGTTTGTTCATGGTTACACAGGCACAACTTGGACAGTTTATCTCATTCAGTACCTCCACTCTTAGCTAGAGCATCTATATGATTACTTTTCTTAGTGTATATAAAATGAGATTTGCTATATGAAATATGTGTACAACTGGAGCCTGTCCTCAAGGCACTTGGAATCTGGTAGAACGGGAAGCTGAGGAAGGAAATGTGGGAAATGAAAAAAGCCTGGGTTTGGTTGTTCTGGCTCTGCCACTTACTGGCTGTGTGACCCCAAACAAGTCATTCTCTTCTTGGAATTTCAGTTTCTTTATCTATAAAACGGGAATGAGAAAGGTCAAGAATTATTGCATATGGACAATCCAATATTAATTGTAAAGCATTATAGAAAATACTTTTCCTTCCCACACCCCCAGCTTCACTTCCTCTACCCCCACCCTTGCATTTATGGGCTCAGTAAATATTTGTTAGGTAGATGCACAGACAAAATTTAGCTCCTGTGGTCTGGTTGGGACTGTTTTTCCTAAAGGAATGTAGAGAAAGGCAGGCATGTTTCAGGAGTGGGAGGAATACTTTCATGCAGAGATATGGCTGTTGGGAGCTGAGTGAGCTTCACAGGGCAGGGGCTTCTGGATGAAGACAGGGCGGAGTAGGAGAAAGACAGGGAATCCAGTGAAAATTAGAGTGACACGCCTCTTCACTGAATGCTCCCTGAGGGCCAGGACCTGTCATACTGAGTGTTTAAATTAACACACTTACCTCATTTAGTTCTTGCCAACTCTGCAAGGTAGGTAATTCTATTTCAAGATGAGGAAACTGAGGCTCAGCGAGGTCAAATGATTTGTTGAAGGTCACACAGCTATCAAATGGCCACAATAGGATTTGAACCCAGGATTCCTCTGGCTTAAAATTACATGTTTTTAATCAACCTACCTCCCCAGGTGAACAATACAACACAGGCAGGCTGGGAGTGCTTTCAGGAAGAATTCCTTATGTGGGAAGCAGTCTGGGACTCCTTCCCTTTGAAGTCAGGAGGACTCCTGAGTGCTGGGCACTGAAGGGCTGGAAACCAGATGGAGACCAAGGCGGGCTGAGCAAGCCAGGGAGGAGTTTCTCGGCAGCCCTCTGACTTAGGAAGCTCCCTTGCCCTGACCTCAGTTACTCTCTGGTTTGCAAACTGGTGTGTGCAGGGGTACCAGAGGCTTAGCAAGGGGTGCACTGTGCAGAGAACTTAAGGGAATGACTAACCAGATTCTAAAGCTTCCACACAAGATTCTGTATTAAAACTGCTGGAGGATGCCCTGGTCATGGTGGTCCCTCCCCAGTTTTACCGATGAGAGCATCACTTGTCACTCATCCTGGGGTACAAAACCCTCTGAGCAGTAAAGGGAAAATGAGAAATGACTGGTCACAGAGCAGCCTTCTCTGATGATGAGTCAAGGTATCTTAGAAAAGGAGATGGCAGCCCACTCCAGTATTCCTGCCTGGAGAGTCCCATGGACAGAGGAGCCTGGTAGGCTACCATCCAGGGGTCACAAAGAGTTGAATGTGACTAAAAACAGCAAGGCATCTTAGACCTGGCATTCTCCTGTCTTTTCCTATCTGTATAAATTTCTGTTTAGGGGGATGCATGTGCTTAGTGGAATGTTTTGAATTCAAAACAACTTAAATAGAGTTAAGTTAATGACAGTTAAGTTATTCTTTTAAGTATAACTGATATGGTTGCTGGACTTTCATTATTTCAAGATATGTGGATAAAACCCAAGATGAATATTTCCTTGATTTCTTTCTGATGTAGCATGTGCTATTCAATAAGATGGTTAAATCTATTTTACCAAATCACATTCTGAAACATTTATTATAATTATAGTCAATCTTCATTGTATAAAATGTTCACTATTTTTTTTTTTTACTTCTTGTGAACAAAATTTAAAATGTATTTAAACTCATGGGGGAAATTCTTTAATGTTAGGCTTACAATATACATAAGGATATGTGGCTTTTAAAAATTATTTTGGGGGACTTCCCTCTGGTCCAGTGGCTAAGACTCCATGCTCCCAATGCAAGGGGCCTGGATTTGATACCTGGTCAGGGAATTAGGGCTTCCCTGGTGGCTCAGAGGTTAAAACGTCTGCCTACAATTCGGGAGACCTGGATTCAATCCCTGGGTCGGGAAGATCCCCTGGAGAAGGAAATGGCAACCCACTCCAGCATTCTTGCCTGGAGAATCCTATGGACGGAGGAGCCTGGTGGGCTACAGTCCACGGGGGTCACAAAGAGTCCGACACAATTGAGTGACTTCACTTTCACTTTCAGCGAATTAGATCCCACATGCCCCAACTAAGACCTAACACAGTCAAAAAAAAATAAATACATAAAATATTTGAAAAATTATTTTGGGGATATGTGGGCACAAAAGCTTGAACATCATTGTGCTACTTCCTTGGCTTGTTGAAGTCTTCCCAGATCCTGTTAATATACTCCGTTGCCTTCCACCCTCTTGCTTCTGTGCTCTCAGATGTGAGGAGTGCTCCTGACTACACTGTGAATGCCATCAATAACAAGGATGTTTTTCCTTTGAGGAAAAGATGGCAGTGTATTGTGGACTTGAGCTAAATCTTCAGGAAGCTGGGAGGGGCTCAGGACCCTCAGCTGGAAACCATCTTTGGCTGAGCCAACTTTGTACACATTTCAACAAGGTGAAAATAAGTGTAACTTTCAAAAATTTAAGCAAATCAGTAGTTATGCAAACCATCACCACAGTCCAGTTTAAGAACATTTCTACTACCTGGAAAAATTCCTTCATGGCAACTTATAGTCTGATCTCATCCATACCCCCAGCTATAAGCAATCACTATTCTTTCTAGCTCTATAAACTTGCCTTTCTAGATGCTTCATATAAATGGAATCGTATAAGATGTAGTCTTCTGCATCTGGTTTCACTTAGCATGTTGTTTTTTAGAATCACGTATTGTAGCATGTGTCAAGACTTCTTTATTTTTTTTTTAAGTTTGTTTATTTTAATTGTTAGATAGTTTTCCATAATATAGATAGACCACATTTTGTTTATCCATTCAACAGTTGATAGATGTTTAGGTTGTGTTTAAGTTTGGGGTAATTATTAATAAGGCTCCTAGAGGCTGGCGGGCTGCAGTCCATGAGGTTGCAAAGAGTTGGGCACAACTGAGCGACTAGGCACAGCACATGAATGCGGCTGCTGTTAACATTTGAGTACAAGTCTTTATGTGGACCTATATTTTCATTTCCTTTGTGGAGATCTCTAGGAGTGAAATTGCTAGGTCTTGTGATAAATTTAACTTTGTAGGAAAATGCCAAAAACCTTCCATAGGGAGTATACCATTTTATATCCCTGCTGGCATTGAATGAGGGTTCCCAGTTCTCTGCACCATGAGCCTGAGTTTTAATCACTCTTTGTTACTCAAAGGCCTTCTCAGTTTTTCTTTTACTGTTTAGTGATAAGAATAGGCTGGCTCTTCCAACTCCTGAAGTTCCTGATTTTCCAGATTCTCTCCATTTCTTTTCATTCCCACTATGAATTGCTTGATTCTTTTTTTTTTAATTCAACTTATTTAAACAACAACAAAATAAAAACAATAAAAATAATTTACCTATTTCTCCCACACCTACCCCACTCACTGCCTGTGGCAACCATGTATGTATATGTATACATATAAGCTTTCATGTGGAATATATATATTCTGCATGTAAAAGAGATCATGTAATCTCATGTGATGTTTGTCTTTGTCTGTCAGACTTATTTTACTTAGCCTAATGCCCTCAACATTCATCCATGTTGTTGCAGCTGGCAAGATTTTGTTCTTTTTTCATGGCTGACACTTACGTTGTTTCCGTATCTTGGCTATTATAAATAATGCTGCAGTGAACGTGGAGATACAGATATTGTTTCAAATCAGTGTTTTCATTTTCTTTATATAAGTACTCAGAAGTGGAACTGCTAGGTCACATAGTAGTTCTATTTTTCATTTTGAGAGGAAACCACCATATTGTTTTCCATAGTTTTTGTTGTTTAATCACTAAGTCATGTCCAATTCTTTTGCAACCCCATAGACTGTAGCCTGCCAGGCTCCTTTTTCAGTGGGATTTCCCAGGCAAGCATACTGGAGTGGGTTGGCATTTCTTTCTCCAGAGAATCTTCCTGATCCAGGGATTGAACCTGTGTCCTCAGCATTGGAAGCGGGTTCTTTACCACTGAGCCACCAGGGAAGCCTGTTTTCCATAGGAGCTGTACCAATTTACATTCCCACCAACAGTGCACAAAGGTTTCTTTCTTTCTTTTTTTTTTAATATTTATTTATTTGGCTGTGCTGGGTCTTAGTTGCAGCATGTGGGATCTAGTTCCCTGACCGGGGATCAAACCCAGGGCCCCAGCACTGGGAGCTCAGAGTCTAAGCCACTGGGCCACCAGGGAAGTCCCCACAAAGGTTTCTTTTTCTCCACATCTTTGCCAACACTTCCTTTTCTCATGTTTTTGATAACAGCCATTCTAACAGACGTGAGACAATATTTCACTTTGGTTTTGCATTTTCCTGACCTAGGCCTTTAATCTTCAGTGCAGTTGGCCCCAGCCCTGTGACTTTGATGCACAGATTCATTATCTGTTGTTCTCTCTCTACCAGTCCTATCTCTTAGGCTCAGGGAGAAATTTGATTGGATGGACTATCTTTTCTAGAGTTTACTACTTAGCTTCCAATACCCTCTGGGCCACTAGTAAATTCATTCTTTGATCTCCAGCTTAAATTGATAGACTTCTATTTTTCCTTCCCAGCTGTCTTTTGGGGAGACATTGCCTTAGATGAAGAGGACCTGAAGTTATTTCACATCGACAAAGCCCATGATTGGGTCAAGCAGTCAGTGGAGGACATGGGACACAGCACAGGTAAGTACAGGGTCCCCTCCACCCCCGCCGTGGAGGGAAGGGCTGGGGACTCGGACATGGGTAGATGTTGACCACAGATCGTTGGTATCTGGCCTGTTGGTCCAGGGCCCACCTGTCAGTGGAAAACCTGACACCTTCTCCATTGCAGGCTGGGAAGCTGAAGTTTGCCTGTCCTTCTAAGAAAGCCTCCATCCGCCTCTTTATCCAAAGGTTCAGCCCTGAGCTCAGAGACTTGAACTCAACATGGGTTCTCAGGACTCTGGCCTCTGGGTCTAGCGCTTCCCAAATGGAGGGAATTCCTGGAGAGGCTCCGCTGAGGGCAGTGGGGCTGATGCTGATGGTGATTAGCAGTGGGAAGATGCTTGTGGGGGGGGATGGCGAGCGAGCAGGGGTATTGTGTACTTGTTTGGCCTACAAGCCAGGTGGAAATCCCCCCGGGCCAGGAAACACTGACGAGGCGTAGAACGCTTCAGTGACACCTCTCCCACCCTCCTTCCGAGCCTTCACCTTGGGGTAAGCAGTAATGAGACTGGTTTCCTGAGTTCTCGCACCTCCCTGCCCACTGTACTCAGACGCCTCCCCTCTGTGGAATCTCCATTTTCAGAAAGAAGCCCAGGGTTCTGCGTTGTGGGAGATGTTAGGCTGTGTGGCTGACAGTGACCAAGGCTCCCGTGTGTCAGATGCTACACTTTCTGTGCTGCCTGTGACCCCTCTACCCATTTTCCCTTCCTTTCTTTTGAGGCTTTAAAAAATTGTGGTAAGAACACTTAACATGAGATCTATTGTCTTAACAAAATGTTAAATGTACAACACAGTACTGGAAACTGCAAGCACAATGTGATACAGCAGATCTCCAGAACATTCATCTTACATAACTGACGATACTGCTACTGTATTATGATGCTGCGTACTTCCCTCTTTAGCACCTCTCATGGGTCTAATGCAGTGCTGGTAAGAGAAAGAGGAGTAACATGTGGCCTCCGCCTTCAAGGAGTGCTTTCTTGCCAGGCAGACAGAGTTTAGACCTGGACGAGCTCACTGACATCTCAAAGTTCAGTCTTCCTGTCTCTAAAATGAGGATGAAGCCAGCACACCCGTCAATGGGGGTTCGGAGGATTTACTCCAAAAGGATTGGGTTAATCTGGTGCCTGGCACGTGGCATGTTCTCACTAAGGCACCCAGTCCAGCAGAATGAAACTGAAATGTAGATAGATAAACTGTAATTCCTCAGGGCAAGTGTTACAACGAATCAAGAGCAGTGGGGCCAAGAAGGTCATCATGGGAATGGGCACTCTTGCCTTGTGTCTTGAAGGATGAATAGGAGTTCTTTAGGTGAAGAATCAAGAAGAGACATTTCAGCCGGAGGAGAGACTGTGTGCAGAGACAGGGAGTATAAAAGGGGCTGACTTAGGGAACAGAGGAAGTTGTGGGTCACTGGAGGGTGGCTCTTTGGGGAGCTATTGAAGATAGATGCACCTGGAGAAGTTGGGGTAGATGATCAAGTGCCTGTTGACAGGGTGGGTGGGAATGTGCCCAGAGTGGAGGCAGCTCCCATGGTACCCGGTGTCTATGGCCCCAAAGAGCTGGGGCTTTCCTCTGTGGGCTGCAGGGGTCCTGCCTAATGTTTCTGAATGGAAATGTAATTCACTCATCTGTGGCTGGGGGAGCTTGATGGAGTCCCCTCCATCACAGCTCTCCACATCCCGTCTGCTGCCCTGAGCTTGCTTGGGTTCCTGGCTGGATGCTTGGGCAGCCTTACCATGCTGCTCGCTGGTGGTAATGGTGGAAGAGGGGTTGTCAGGACCACCCCTTCCCCTCTGCTGATGAACTTAGTGGCGTCCAAGAACATCCCCAAAGCCCCCCACCCCTGAGTGCCTTGCACAGCTCAAAGATTCCACTAGAACTAATTTACCAATTCTCCATTTCAGCATCTCCTGGCACCAAAGGCCCTGGGATCTGTATTCATTTGGGAGGGAAGGAGAATACATTGTATTCATATTTCTGGGTGTGGTCTGAGTTCACTCATTCGCTCACTCACTCAATTATTAATTGAAACCTCTACTGAGTGTTCATTTTGTGCCAGGTCTAGTGCCAAATCCTGAGACGGTATAGACTGAGGTGTCTCTTAAGGGTTCACCAGCTCGTGGAGGAAGTAGATGCAAAAGGAATGAAGAATTAGAGGTAGAGGTCCCAGGAAGTACAGAGGGAGTAGGGACACTGAGAAGCACTGGTCCCATTGCTGGGGGCGGGGGGGTAGTCAGAAAGGCTTCCCAGAGGAGGGGGTCCTGGGGAGGTGGACGGGGTTCCCAGATTAGAGAAGGAGTTGAAGGGTTGAGAAAGACAGTCCATACTGAGGGAGGGGTCATTCTTGGGGTGGGAAATGGGATGGCAACCTCCACTGAATTGGTGATAAGCTCCCTTCTTGTCCAAGGTCTGCTCCCCCTTTATGTGGTGGGGGGGCACAGTAGGACTGTGCTCAGCAGAGTGGGGGGCAACTGCCATGGCTCATGGGGAACATGAGCAGCTGCAAGGACTAGGCCAAGCTCCACACAGGATGTAGGGCTGAGGGGAAGGCAAGAGGGCAAAGGTTGTCAGGAGGTCAGAGGTCCTCATCGCCAGTGGCCGGGAGGAGGGAGGAATGAGCTTCTTTTGGTGTCCGACTTTATGATTTTCACTTCTTTGGATTTGAAGGGACTTCTCCTGTATGGTTTGAAAAGTCCATTTGAATTTTAAATGGGATTTTGGAATCCAAATTATTTCTCACACTGTTATTTACATGGCGTGTAAATCACATCATAATTGAACTTCAATCAAAGGAAGCATCTTTTCATAATTCTGTCATTCCAGCTCATCATATATGCCCCCGATCCGCGCTCCCCACCAGATTCTTACTGGTGTCCTAGAGAAGTTGATCAGATTTTAAGTTTTGTGTGATTAATCTTTTTAAATTTTCTTCTTTGCTATATTGGGCTTCCCTGGTAGCTCAGCTTGTAAAGAATCCACCTGCAATGCAGGAGACCCTGGTTCAATTCCTGGGTCGGGAAGATCTGCTGGAGAAGGGAACGGCTACCCACTCCAGTATTCTTGGGCTTCCCTTGTGGCTCAACTGGTAAAGAAGCTACCTGCAATATGGGAGACCTGGGTTTGAACCCTGGGTTGGGAAGATCCCCTGGAGAAGGGAATGGCTACCCACTCCAGTATTCTGGCCTGGAGAATTCCACGGGCTGTATAGTCCACGGGGTTGCAAAGAGTTGGACACAACTGAGCAATTGTCACTCACTTCACTTTTGTTATATTATTTTAGTACTTAAAACTAGTGAACCTTGCTGTGGCCCGGGTTCAGTTCCTGGTTAGGGAACTGAGATCCCATGAACTGTGCAACAGAAACAAAAAATCAGTGAACTTCACATAGCTGAGACATGCAGTATGATGTACTTTTCTGTGTCCAGTCCACGTGGCCACTACCCAGACCAAGGGGTGGAATATTTCCAGAACCCTGAGACTCCCTCTCATGCCACCTCCCAGCCAGCACCCACCCCACGGCAGCCATTCATCTGACCTCTCTCCACACAGATGCATTTTACCGACATGAATGGACCCATGCAGTGTGTGTTTGTGTCTCCTCCTCCTCAGTTTTGTGACTGTGGAATGTCCCCCATGTTGTGTGTGAAACTCTGGTTTGTCGTCTTTGGTTCTTGTGCTGTGTTCTCATGCATGAAAATACCCTACTTTATTCATTATTCCATTGCTAGCCATTTGGACATTTGACAGTTTAGGGATATGATAACTGAAACTACTACTCACAGTCTTGTGTCTACCTTTCTGTGGACATAAGCACTCATTTCTGTTTATGTACCCAGGAGTGGAATTGCTGGCTCACAGGGTATTTGTAAGTTATTAGGGATGCAGTCAGATTTCCCAAGTGGTTGTACCAACTTACAGCTGTGTGAGTACATGTTGATTTGGAAAGCAGGGGGAGGTGACCATGCAGGACCCAGGGAGACCTCCGGGTCTTGGTCTTTCCAGCTTGGGGACCCCACTCACACCTCCAGACCTGCACAGCATCATCATCACGAATGCTCAGGGTGGCTCCTGTCAGCAATCCTCCTGCTGCCCTTGGGGGACCTGCCACGGCACAGCATGGGGACCCAGGCTTGCAAATTTAAGAAAGAAACCTCAAAGAGAGGCTGGGCTGTGGCCAGCCACCATGCCAGCTGAATGACTAGCTGCCCGAGAGTTGCCTGTCTGGGAGGTTGCCGCAAGGATGTGCAGGGAAGGGAAGCCTAACAGCCCTGCCTCTGACTCCTTCATGGTGCTCTCCTAAGGCTGCTCTAAAAACCTGAGTATCTGTCTTCTCGTTCCTTCTCCGCTGTGAGCTGAGAGAAAACAGAGTCCACACAGGTTCGACTTTGGATCCCCAGCACTTTTGTATCTTGGAGGTTGGAGACAAGAGAAGGAAGAGACAGATGGAGACCGGCAGGCCCTGGATCATCTCCCACGGGCCTTAGGGGTGAAGAGCTCCCACAGGGCATTGCTCTCAGGAGTGTAGTCAAAGCACTGGTCACCATCACCAGCTTTGACCTCAGACTATCTGGACTTGAATCCTTGAGCTGGGCCTCAGTATCTTCATCTGTTAAATGGGTAGAGTAATAATCCTTACCTTGGAGTGATGTTGTGAGGACCAAAGGAAAGAATACATGCAAAGTGCTGAGCACAGTGCCTGGCACATAAGAAATGCTCAATAAACATCAACTCTTCCTGTTCTTCCTCATTATTAGCAGTAGTATTTGTAGAAAGAACACTGACCTAGGTGGGTTCAAGGTTAAAGTAGAGGATGATGGACATTTGTTATGTGCAGGAGGGAACTTTGGGGGCTCAGGCATGAGGCCTTTGAAACATAAACCTTCCTGATATTTCCTCCTTCCCAAGCTAGAGATATATAGTTTTTCTGGTGTGTTTTTATGCAAGGTTATTTTTATCTTGATTACTTTTCTCTGAGG